CCTGACGTTTCGGATTCCAGTGTCAAGCCATCTTAAGAAACAGCATTAGATAGGGGTTGGAAGCTGTCCTCGCAGTTGGGTTCGAAACAGAATCCGAAATATCGGGCGAGTAAAGTTCTTGTCCCGGCTATCGTGTCTTTTTCTTCTTCTCAATAGGGATAGCATTGCCAGTTAGTAATAATAGAAATAGTAGTAGCCGCATCAGCTTCGGCCTCCTTCAGCTTGTTTTAACACCTACTGAAGGTGAGTACGGGTACATAGAATGGTAGTACCCGCGCAAATCTACTGTTACTTAAGACTAATTTTGGCGGTGTTTCTGGCTTACATTGCGGCCAACGCCGGACCCAGTCTGGCCTTCTTAACCCATGGTGAGGCTGAAGAGTACAGACGGCGCGAACTACGTCTTCCATCACTTTAGCCAACCCCCCTGTAGCCAATCACCATCAGTGTACCAAACTGTTGATGCATAAGCTGGACTTCACCGAAATCTATGGTCGAACAATCATCATCACAGGGGTAACTGTTATACCTGCCTTCCAGGCCCGCAATACACTTCACTTTTATATTCATTATCAATGATTATGCAGTCAGGAAGACTCTATGAGCCCGATAATCCACTTGCTGGTGGCCGTATCAGTCCCAATTGGATTAGGAGGAAACACAGTCCGCAGCGTCTTCACCGTTGGCCGAAAACAAGCTGGCAAAACGATTAAGAAGCCCCGGTGAAGTTTATTATGGCGATTGGAGAAAGCACAGTACAGAAAAAAGAGCGCACTATTAGGCGCGGAAAGGCGGCAAAAATAGAGGCAATTTAGGCAAGTACGGATTGGCCATCGATGCAAGCGCACACAAGCCACGCAAAGTCAAAAGATCAGAACTAGGAGGCAAAAGGCCGTATAATTCGCAATTGAAAAGCAGTAAAAATGCACTGGGGGGATAACATTTGCACAAGGAACTGTGCCTGACTTTGTGTCATCTGGAAAAGGGAGGTGGGGGTGGCGAAGGCTCCTCGTCAAAGTGAGGGTAAAGATGTCGGGGCAGCCGATGTAATAAAAGCAGCATTTTATGTCGGGTACATTATTATTTCTTTTTAAATCGTGTAATATTGTCGGAATTAAGTCAGCAAAGGGCATGATTTTGTCAGGAAAA